ATCTTTTACTTACCACTTGACAAACCATTATGTTGTTACAAGGCTTTGTATTGAAAAACTTGATAAATAGTAAAACGTAAATAAAATCTCATTTGAAAAGCGGGAGAATAGTTGCTGTCTGTCTTATAGCCAGATTTAGCAGATGCGGGTTTGAATGCAAAACAGTTGTGAAAATAGCCAGTGTCAAACTAGTGCAAAATTAAACTTGTGGGGTGTTCTGTTTTCAGTGTCTGTTATTGTTGAAGTACTCCATTTCAAAAGCATGCATTCCTTCCTACAGAAAAAAAATCAGATTCCTTAGTTGAAATTAATTAGCATTCAGAAACCAGATAGCATGTTTTTGGGTATTCATGAGATCTCTGTTTGAAAAAATGTTTTTAACTTGTAGAAATGTGTTGCAACACACAGATGGGAAGAAAAAGAAAAAAAAATCTCTTTAGCAAGCACTGTGTGTAAAAGGAATATTACATTTTGCACGCTCCTGATTACCCTGTGTAAACAGTTTTTGACATCTGTCTTTATAGTTTTCGAGGAGAGGAAGACTTTGTTAAAAGAACCATTTTTATACAGCAGTCACCATTTCAGTCTTGCTTTACCTGTATTATGAAAGCAGATGGTCTGCATGTCTTTTGAATATTTATAACTATCAAAAACAATCTCTTGCTATTCACCCTTAGGCTTATGAGATGTCAGGACTGTTCTGGTTGAAAAAAAAATCATCTTGGGTGTTTACAGAAAGAGGATTACATTAAGCTGAAATGACTATACATTTTCCAGTTTAATATTTGTCCATCAGCTGTTTAATCGTATTTAGATAATTGTGTAAATAAGTTGTTGCAGCCCTTGCCCCTTCCACTGAGCAGGCTTGAAGCTTTAAACACCGATGAATGAGTTGCAAAAAAGCTCAGATTTTTTTTTTCTCCCTAGTTAAACAACCTGGAAGGCCTAAATAAGTTTTGGTTACAATGCTCCTTTTGAGGGAGATGTTTTATTTGCAAAGGAATCCCCAATATCTAATTCAGCCGAGCTGTTTTAGGAAGCTGCTACGTCTGTTACTCTCTGCTAAGTCTGGTAGCATGTATTTGTTCTGGGTAAATACCGCAGCCCAGCTACCCCTTCATGAGGCATGAAAACAACCTCGTTCTGCCCATATAAAAATAATTTTAAGGTTATTTAGGGGAAGTTTTGGGACTGTGGGGGTTAAAAGCTTTTTTGACTGGAAGCTGAGCAATCACTGATAACAGATTTTGCTGTGGTTGGTTGATTTGGCAGAAAAGCATGAACAGTTTTGGTTTAGATGATTGAATTAACCTGATTAACATTGTTTTTGTTGTTTTGCAAAAAAAGGACAACAGTATACTTCTAGCCACGCTCAAACAATACTTCACCTGGTTGGAGAGCAGCATTAAGAAGCTGTGGCTCAGTAGGACCTCCCTCGCAGCACCTGCGGCGGTGGCTGCAGCGACTGGGCGGCGTGGAAGGCTCGGGTCCTTCCCGCAGCTCGCGGGATGCACCTTGCGTCAGGTTCTGGCACCAGCCGAAAAGTGCCTGATGCTCCTGTTTTATTGAGTTTTGTTTGATGGGCGTATGAAAGGTGTTCTAGTTGAGATTTAAGATACTCTCCGAGGGAGTTCCTCAACTTTCTTCGAGAAAGGGTGATGCCTGGTTCTCAAATCCCTGGTATTTACTCTTCCTGAGAGAATGGGATTTGGTTCAAACTACGCTGGGTGAACCTCAGCTGAACTTCAGAACGAATTCTACCCTTACCTCCACACAGTTGTTGGATGCCTAATTATAATTAACTTATTTGGCTTAAAAAAGAGCACTTGGGCTGCAGCAGATGGTATCATTCCAGAATAGCGGGCTTTCTGTGAAGGTGGCACCATTTCAGCTGAGATCTCCTGATTCTCAGAGCAGGGCTGCAAGCGATGTGTTTGAGGGGCAAGAGGGGTGGAGGGAGGGGAAAGAGGGAAATTTGGGATCTTGAAGTCTCACAATTTACTTTCAAGGGTAAACTTCTCAGAGATACGTTAAGACTGCGGATCTGTGACCACTTTTTGTATTCTATCGATTTTCTCTGCAACGTGTGAAAGAGAAATCAGATTATGAGTGAGGAATGCGATGCACTTGAATATTTGTATGATATATTTATAATCGTCATCCTTGTACAGGGAAAGCATCTGCCTCTGTGCCTCACAGATAAGGAATGCCTATGTACAGTAGTACTCAAACATGATGTGCTTCAAATACAGTAATTTTCATTTTGATTATTGATAAACCAAGACATGGGCAGATCTTCACATGGAATGACCTGAGAAATAAGAAAAAATTCAATATGCCTCCAGATTATGTTGTGGATCTCTGAAGACCCCAAACTCATGAGGTTAATCTTCAATTTTAGGCCCTAAGCATAGTGACATTTGTATATATAGATTGCCATTAAAATATATAAGAATTCTACAGCAGTACGAATTATACAGGAATTTCTATAGCAAAGTGCATCTCTGCACTGACACGCCTGCAGGTTTGGTGACAATAAATAAAGCATGGAAACAATGAAATTCAGTGTTGTCAAGTCATTCTCTGAGTTAACAAGGTAGTTATATTTTATCTGGCTTGTAAAATTTTGCCTTCAGTGAATTAGTAAATAAATCATTGATTCCTCCTGATGAGGATTCTTAGCGTAGGTAATATCGCTTGAATGTTTGCATGAAGTGTTCTTGAAGAAAAAAGCAGGATAATTTTAATTTTAAAATGTGTTGATAATGTCTGTGGTTGTTGGTTTGATTTTTTTTTTTTTTTAAATCTACTTTGAAGAGCTGGAGTAAAATCTCAGTATTAGCCATCAGAATATGAAATTTGCATTGTGTCAAAGAAGCTAAAATTCCTAGCAGTGTTATTTAAACAGACCAGTCCCCTATTTGGTGGTAAAATAAAGTAACTGCATTAAATTTATTCTTGAAGAAGCAGGGATGTCACAAACTGCCATGTAATTGGCATATCTTGTTTGTAAAATGACATGGAAGGGAGGACTAGGAAATTGTAGACAAACATCTTCATCAATAGTAGGTAATTTACTACAATTATTGTTAATACACATGCTTTCATACTTTCTAAAGTTATTTGGACTGGAAAAGGCATCTGAAAGGGGCAAATTAAATCAGAAAAAATCACCTTGAAGTCTAAATGACACCCACAAAGTATACACAAGCTAATATGGGATGGTGGCCCATTACATGTGCAGTTCCCTGTTTTGCACATGCAGATCTACAGGTTTTGCATGCACAGAGACTGTACATTCATATAATTTACCAGTTCAGATCCAAAAGACTTTAAATTAAACCTTATCTATCATGCACCCATGTTTAAAATGGTTTAATCTGTAAAAGAGCTTACACAATAATTTTGTAAGTATTAGACATTAATGATATTATTGTTGTATTGGAAATTGAAATTGAGTTCAGCTGAGCTTGGTTCAGGTCATTCAGGCTAGAGTGGTCTATTAAGATTTCATTCTCCCTGTATACCACTGATGAAAGGCTTCTAGCTAATTTCAGAAATGCCAGAATAGTATCAAGGAGTGGTAAAAATTTTGGTGATTTGGAGAAACATTAAAATAGCTGCCTGGTGAAGAGAGGGTATCCACATTTGGCAGAGATAATACTGCCTCACTCTAGAAATTCTGAGCCTCCACAAATAGGTTGTTACCAAGTAATATGTTAGAAAAAGGTTTTAATGTACTTCACTGAAATCAATAACCAAAGTACTTTTACTCAGAAGCTAAACTAGCCTTACAAAAGAAGACTTATGGTAATATTTATTGCATTTTCACTCTAAACTCTTTCTTTTGGTGGTTATTGCAGTTTGTGTAACAAAGGGTTGATGCTGTACATCGATTTTATGACAGCACAAATACAGCAAAATGTTACATGCTGAATAGTGAAGAAACATAATAATCAGGCCTTTGTCTTCTTGAATGTCATTGTTTTCTCAATACACTGGGCAGTTCCTGTAGTTAAGCTAGAAGTAACTACTTTCCACATAAAAATCTAAAGAGTGGCAAAGTTCAGTCTATTGAAATTACATTTGCGAATTTTGTTGTTCATACATCACATACTGAGTACAATTTTCAAGTTGGAGCATTCTCTCATTTTGCAAGGCTTAGTCTTCATTGATTTTGTAGAAGAATGTACTGGAACTGAAAGTTCTGTGCATTGTAAATTCCACTATTTTAAAACTGGTCAAAACTGAGCAGAAGGTAAATTTCTCACTGTAGCTATCTGATATCTCGAGAACCTTTGTGAAAAAAATCATCCCTATCATCCTTTGGTCTATTTTACAGCTAATACTCAGTTACAGAATTAGACATGACAATAAGAGCTTTTCGTAAGCTTGTTTCTGCAAATCACTTAAAATGCCCTGTTTAGGCAGAGCAAGTCTGGCTTCATTTTGGGTTGTAACATACATATTTTATTCTACTATAAACCGCCTTATTTTATCCTACTAATTGGTCATTTAGATAAACTTCCATCCCACGGCTTTCTGGATCTGCCATGTGGCAGAAAGGGAATGGACATGGGTAGTTTGGGGCATTGCTTGCGTTTTTGGCATCAGTGTAGGATTTGTATGCCTGTAAACTTGTGTGGGAACATGAAGGATCAATCAAATTTAAAAGCAGAAATAGTACCAAAAAAAATTGCCTTTCAAGATTAGCATCTTCTGTCCACAGCCCATCCCATTGCCTGATGTTTCTTGGTCGATAACTTTGTTCTTCCCTTAGTACATCTGCTTTTTTTTCTCCCATTTACAATATACCCTGGTTTGTTTTTATGCTCGATTAATGAGTTTTTTAAAAGGCTTTGGAAGATAGGATTAAAAATGCAATATGGGTCTGAAACTCTAAACATATAATGGTTTCAACAATTGAAATAATTTGTGCTTTGACTTGTACTGCTCTGTATTACAGATATATCTTTTTTTCTTCTCCCCTTTTCACACAGAGTATGATTTCTTCCATTGTGAACAGCACTTACTATGCAAATGTCTCAGCAGCAAAATGTCAGGAATTTGGAAGGTGGTATAAACATTTCAAGAAGGCAAAAGATATGATGGGTAAGCAAAAAAAAAATAAAAAAAATTGCCATGATAGTGGATATATACAATTATGTGTCACGTTGAGGTCTGTCACGCTCATATAAGAAGCCAGGTCCCTTCACAATAAGTTTAGGATGCTTTTGATGAGTAGATGTAGAAAGAACGTATATAGTGGAAGAATTCATTTAAATAAATATTTGCTATTGGAACAGCCAAACTGCCTTGGGTTGCCAGAGATGTAAAGCTGTCATTCTGTAAAGCTAGAGATCTTCTACCACCCGGAATAATTGTTTAAAAAACCTGTTCCTGGCACTGTGACGGACTGATTTTTTTAATGTATGTGTTTTTTTCTAACTCTGACTAATGCGTATTTAAAGAAACAGGCTTCTATAACTCTCACTGCCTTCTAACAAGAATGCTATAATTTAATAAATTTGTATCTTCCTCTTAACTTATTAACAAATGAATTGTGGCAATTGTTTGCTGCTTGTAAAAAAATCCATAAGTGGGACATATTAATTCTGTGATACCTTTTATCTCTCTCTGTCGTCCCTTTGTAAAACTACTTTTTAAACCTGTTAACATAATTTTGAACACTTTATGTCAGAAAATTTCTATATAGTTTTCGACAGAAGGAAGAAACAGGACCTCAGTTTGGACTGAATTTTGAGCCTGACTTAGCTTTTAGTATTTGAAGCAAAAACATTCATCTACCAAAACGGGTTCCTTGCCTGTTATAGCTTAAGGCTGTAATGAAGACAATGCATCACTTTTGTGATAATTGCTTGAATTAGTGTTCCAAGTGAATGGCCCACTTGGGTTGATCTTTACTTTTCCGCTAGTGAAAAAAGGCAGCTTCTTTCCTTTATCTACTTTGTACCTTCTGCACGGCACGGAACCCTTCTTCTGAGACCACCAAAGTCGGTGGTAAGCACTCCCTTTCGGGTGGTCCACGTGGCAGGCAGCACTGTCCCCAAAGCCACACAGATGAGGAGCAGCGGCCTCTCTGCTGCGGGACTCATCCAGGCTGTGGATACCAGACCTCTCTGCAGAACAACTGTCTTGCTTTTTTATTTTTTTAAATTTCTGCCCCATGATAGGACAGAAAGGGAAGATGGGGCTGTGGGAGGCAATCCAGGTACCAATTTCTTCTTCCAGCTCTCATCTGTGTGGAGGAAAGGATAGTCTTGCACTGAATGACTGTTAGTGAAGATCATAGTTACTATAAAAAGCTCAGACACACTGGCTTTTAAAAAAAAAATGCTTTACCAGTATAAGGAAAAAATTGCTACAACACTTTTGTGAAGATACTGGGGTTTTGTTTTTTAAATAAAGCATATTTTCTTAAGGCTATTTCCAGACCAGCACTGCTAAAGCTCTAGAACTGAGATTGTTTAAAATGAAAATGCGACATACGTTGATAAAAAGGAGTCTCCCTTACGTCAGCCTAGAGTTATCTTATATTGTCTTATCAGGAACAAGAAGGGAGCTGGAAGAACTCCTGTAGTTTAAAAAACTGTCTTGTTAATTATGAAGGAGGGTGTGTCAAGGCAGATGAGTTAATATAAGAAAAAAATTCAACCATGTTGCAAGTCACTGAAAAAACCCATGCATACATGGTTGCAAGATAAAGCAGCCCATCTGTGTAATTTACATAAATTATACTAGTTCCTAGCAGTCCCATACAATTGATGCAGCATCTAGAAATTAGCAGAGCATGGGGAGGTCCACACCCCACCCCGCTTGTTACAGATTTCCAGTGGCTGAGAACTGCAGATGTCATAGTGGGAACACCACAGGGAAACAAAACCAGTCACTGGGGGCTTGTCTCTCTCTGGTCTGGATGGGCTTTCCCCTAAGAGCCCCCCTTACCCTTTGCACAGGTGCATTTACCATTTCACCTGCACCTTTTGCAGCGCTCAGAGTGGTTTCCCATCTCTTGTCCTTGCCCCCTCTCTAGCTGCTCACTGCCTTGTCTGAAGTCCCCCGTGTCCATCACCACCAGGAGCCACTCTGCAGCCGCACCCTCGCCGTGCGAAACTCTCAGCAAGTTATTCCTTTGCCATCTGTGGTTTCCAGTGTGTGTGGTTCTGCCTCTGATGTTCTGCTGGTTCCTCCAAGTGCCCAGTGGTGACGGGGGGCAGTTTGTTAGATGTTTTTGTGGGTTTCTTTTTTCTTTTTTTTTTTTTTAAGATTCACTACACCACTAATTTTAGGTAGATTTTTTGAAGGCAAATTACCACAATGATGTTACAAGCCCACTGATCTAAGCCCGAGTACAGTAAGCTTGAACCTGAATGCGCCATTTTATATTGCTTTATTTTTATTCGCACGTCTTGTGAGGAGTGTGAAGTTTGTGATTTTCAGTCTTATGTTGGCTTTTTCAATGTTTCTTTTCCATTGTAGTTGAGATGGATAGCCTTTCTGAACTATCCCAGCAAGGTGCCAACCATGTCAACTTCGGTCAGCAGCCAGTCCCAGGGAACACAGCCGAACAGCCTCCATCCCCTGTTCAGCTTTCTCATGGTAGTCAACCATCAGTTCGGACCCCGCTTCCAAACCTGCACCCTGGACTTGTATCTACTCCCATTAGCCCTCAGCTGGTAAATCAGCAGCTGGTAATGGCCCAGTTGCTGAACCAGCAGTATGCAGTGAACAGACTTCTAGCCCAGCAGTCCTTAAACCAACAGTACTTGAACCACCCTCCTCCTGTCAGTAGATCCATGAACAAGCCGTTGGAGCAGCAGGTCTCAACGAACACAGAGGTGTCTTCCGAAATCTACCAGTGGGTCCGTGATGAACTGAAACGAGCAGGAATCTCACAGGCAGTATTTGCACGTGTGGCTTTTAACCGAACTCAGGTCAGTCACCTTGTTTCCTATTTATTTATTTGTTAATGTATTACATCTTGGACTCTCTTCTTTCTCTCTCTATTTAGTAATTATCACATTTTAAGTCCCTCTTCTCATTTCTGCCTTGTCACTTAGCTCCTGTGAAGGAGCCGCGCTTCCTCGCAGGACCAACGTCTATGCTGATGCGGTATTTCCTCTCCAGTTGTGATGGTTTATGAATAGCTACATCTTCCCTAGGAAGGAAACATGGATAGCTCTGTGCAGAACCATTCACAAAGTCTCCCAACAGATTGCATTTGTGTTGCAAAGGTTTTACCTGAACTGACCACGTGCATGCATGCACTCAACAACCTGTCTTCTTTCACAGGTGTACCGGAGATGGTCTTTTATTCTTGTTTGCCATTATTTTTTTTTTATTTTCTGGTGAAAGTCTTAACAATGTCTTTTCAGGCTTCTGAAAAGATTAAAAATTAAAAACTTTATTTTTAGATCATCCACGCTTTTCATATATTTTTGTACTTTGTTGCAAAAAGTAGTTGCTGAGATTGCCGATGTCCACGTCAGAACATATACTTCAGCTCTTCAATGCAGAAAAAGCTAGCCCTAGCAAAGCTGATAAGTAACACTAAAATGTGTTATTTTTTACACCTGTTTTAGAAGCTAACCCCGTTATAATTTATTCCGCTCCATGAATTTAACTTAATGCCATGTTGCATGGAATTTAATCAAGCAGAAATTATGGAAGAAATGTCAGTATATCCAATGCAAATCATAAGATCTCAAAATTTTACAAGTCTGTTTTAAGAGAAAATAAAATGGTTTATTTTTTAATAGGAAATACTTAAAAACGACGTAAGTAAATTTGCACATTTTCAAACTTAAGGAGCAAGTATTTGTCCATTGTAGAAGATAGTAAAAAAACCCCACATAATTTGGACTTCTCTTGAAATGTTGGTATTTCTCCTTGCATAGCATAGAAAATATAAATGCTGGTTCAAATGCACTAACACCAGGTTTGAATCAATATGCTATTTGTAATTGTTCTGAGTTATTATTGCTTTAAAATTTTTTACATCCTCCTTTAGCTAAAAGAAAGTAGAGTCATGGTGTAAATTCTCTTTAGAGCTCTGTGTGTGTGTGTTTCCTCTTAAAGAGCAGAGGAGGTTTTCAAGATCTGAGTGTTTCCTGCCAAATTTCATGGAACACAAACTCGTGCAAAGATTACATACATAAGTTAGGTGCAGGCAGCATCAGTTGTATTTGCAAATAAGTGACATTTTTTTAATTTTTAATTTTTTTTTTAATAAAATGTTTAATATTTTAACTATTGATACTGTAAGATCTTGGAGTAATAGTAGTAGCTTCAAGTGACAATGGTTTGCAACTGCCATCTTACCTGGACAAGAAGCCAACTGAATAATTCAGAAAATAAATAGTTTGTTACATATTTACTTAGATATGCCTAGAAGCAGCTTGTTTTCCAACAACTGTCTTACCCTTCCAAAGTAATTTGTTCAGGTTTTGTCAGCTAGTTTTGCATAGAGCTTGTGGTCTATCATTCGTTACCTGAAATACAGGGAAGATTCGTCGTGACTGGACATTGAATTTACATGACCCAGTATGAGAAGACGCTCTTGAGATGTGATGAATGCAACTGTAGAACCAGACTTTTAGTGCAAGTACCTGTTCCTGATTGCTATATATATATTTTTCTACTAAAAATATTATTAAATATTTGTTTAAAGTTCAAATCTTCCACAGGCACTGTGGTTAATCAACTTGATAAAACGTGTTCGAAGTGGCCCAAAACTGGGAGGAAACGCTAAAAGGAATGTTGAAAACAAATCCCATGAAGAGATATGAAAAATAAATGTAATATATTTTGTCACTTTTCAACCAAATCTACTTGAAAGAGCACGTAGTAGTGTCCTTATATCCTACAAATTGTGTTAACTAGTCAAATTAGTATTTGCAATTAGCTAGGTAAGGTTTTGCAGTATTTGTTCTGTATTTTGGCAAATGTAGGGAAGAGGAAGGAAAAATACTGAGAGCCTAGACAATATTAGCCTTAGTGTTGCCAGGAAATATCTCAGTGTATTTTTCACATGAAGCAAAGCCCCACTGAAATCCAGAGGAGCTTGTTGTAGGCATGTTTCGCCTTTGAAAACTGAAAATTTTTAGTTTTACCCAGAGTAACAGCTAATGTCCAAGCACAAACATAGGTAGAGATATCTGTGATTCTTATATGAAAACATTTAGATTTGTTCTACTTGTACTTCCGAATCCATCACAGCTTATTCAGGGATACATCACATTTAACTAGGGAAGCACTTTAATAACTGATGCTGTTTAGAAGTTATTTCCTAATATGATGTAATATCTTTTAGCATCATCTATCTGTCTATCTATCTATCTATCTATCTATTAGGCTAGCGCAAGTGAAAATGCTTGTTTAAATTCATCTACTGTTTTCTGAGCTAAAAAGCTAACTTAGGCTTACCACTGACATTTTTGAAACTGTCATAAGCATATTTAAGCCGTGTCCAGGGACCATATCATGCCATCAGTTCTAACCAATTTCAGTGAGATCTTCTGCCTTGAGGAGTTCTGCGCAGAAAAACCTCTGATGTCAAGATATGCTCTCAGATGAAGGGACAGATTTGCTTTCAGTGTAAAAGTTAAGGAAGGAAGTGAACTATAAACTAAAAAGTTTGTAAGAGTTTTTAAACAAAGCTTAATGCTTTGGCAATATAAATAGACTTTGGTGGAATTGGCTGGAAGTTTTGGTGCCTCTTGTTTTACAGACTTGTGTTCTATTAAGTACAGAATTTCGTGGCATTTTTGAGTGGGAAGGGTGTGTTCTACCAGCTTTGTGTGGCAATTGGCCCTAATTTTCAAGAATTTTTGATTCAGAGGCAAAAATGTTCACTAGAAATGTTTCTACCTCTTCCCAGCTCAAAGGAAAAGAATTTGTTAAAATAACTTCTGAAGACTAGAGTGTCTCTTTAATTATCATCTACTTATAAGACAGAAGAAAACTCCTCAGCCACACCTCAGAAAATTGAAAGGGTGTTCTTAGTATCTTCTTGGATAACTTCCTCCCTGCCCTTAACTTCTAAATGGTAGTTTCAAAAATACATAGCTCTCAGGAACGTGCCTTGCAAATTTTGATCAAAGAGGAGTCCAGATTGCTACAGCTTCAATGAAAATTGACGTCTATACAGACAGAGTAGAGCAACTGTAGGGAGCAGAAGTGCCTTTGGAAGGTGGAGCACCTCTCGCCATGACAAATTTCACAGCAGTCCTAGAAGGGTTCAGAGCACAGTGGGATCTGGAGTGTCATTTGTCCTCCAGCAGTTGCTATTCCAGGTTGCTGGCTGCAAAGACACAAACTGAATCCTGTTAGCACCTCTTTGTTGTGCACCGTGGAAGAGTTTGCTGAGTCAGGATTTGTGCTAGCAGATCCGAGTTTCACCTCAAGCGTGGCTACCAGCTGTGTCTACTGGTCTCTCTGCTTGGCAGGGTGATTTTTCGTAAATTGAGCTGCTTATGTTTCAGTTGCCATTTGACTGAATTAATAAACAACATATTTTTTCCAGCTGATGAAGCCTCATGTCAGCAGAGAGGCTCAGCCTGTCCCTGCCAGTTTGCAGTGGGACTGGGAGGCTCTTCACTCTGTTTTGTTCTTCTTGAGGGAGCTGGAATGGAGCATCGGCACTTGTTGGGCTGAACCCACCTTCAAGCCCTAAACAAATAAACAAACTCCTCTCCCATTTCTGTCTATGAATGTAAGCATGAGTCAGGAAGAAGAAAGCTTGAGTTCCCACAAGCGAGCCTGACATTGGGCTCGAAGGCGTAGCTTTGCCCGGTGCGTGGCCGGGTGACGGTGATGTGTACGTACTACGCGAGCGAGGGCATGCGCTTGCCGTGGTTGTGGTTGGAAGTGTGGCTCGGGTGCTGCTGTACAGAGGTGACCTCTCGGCTCCATCTTCGTGAGAGGAGGGGGAGTGCTTTTTTATGCTTTTGCTGTGTCTGACTATTGCGATTTTTCTTCTTCCCACCAGTGACAGTTTTCCATCTCGAGGTTTTTGAGTACTTCTCAGTCTTTCTGCCAGATACCTTTTCTCTCCCCCTCCTTTCTACTTCACCCCCCTGCTCGTTTGAAGTATTAGCTGCCAGGATACATTGCCTTTCATTCATATATAATGGCAGTTCTCATATGTGAAAACTTCTGTGTATTTAGGACCATACTCATGCTAATTCTGGGCAATGCTATTTCAAAGGAGAACACTTGGATGCAGTAAACGGCTCTGTGTAATTTTAAAACAAAATCTACGTTTACACAAACCACCTTCTCAAACACTTTTTCTTTTTTTTTCCACTTTGTCTTTGGCACACTTTATTTTCCAGTAAAATGAAAAATGAAGATGGATTATTCAAAATTGATAACAGTAATGGACCATCATGTAATGTTTTATTGAATTTGAGTTCTGTAAATTATGTGGTAGAGAGAAATTTGCCTGCTTAAGTATAACAGAAATTGCCACTGTATTCATATAATTCTTCGTAGTGTAATTTAAGAAAAAGCACACTATCCATATCACTATTGAATAAAAGGTAAAAAGGTGCTATTACACTATCGTGACAGCTCTCCTCTTGCTACTAAGCGACACAGATAAATGTGTCTGCTTATAACTTACTTGGCAGGGATCCAGGGTTGTGGGTGGAGCTTGTGAATAATCTTCCACCTGGACACGGGATGGGAGCACCCTGCACTGGAGAAGGATAGCGTTCAGGGATGTTCTGCGTGTTTTGGGGAGGTTTGGGCAAATTGCATTTTTCTTCTGGGAGCTTTGAAGTTCTATCAGGCTGATAAAATCTGTTTGAATCAGTGATTATGTTCAAAGAGGAGACAAACTGAGGGCCAGACAGGCAGTGTTTTTGTTCGTATTGGCAGACACTTTCGTTTATCTCCTATTTTTCAAGAATTCATAATTAGCTTTTGAAAGCCTTGATAATATTTACTGAAGATTTTTGTGCAATTAGTAATGAATTAGACTTGTGATGACATGTAAACTTTCTTTTTTTCAATGGGACCTGGTAACATTTTAAGAAAATACGTACCCAATGTGATAAGAAAACAAGAAACAGTGAGGAGGACTCTGAGCCTAGCAGTATTTATAATCTCTATGCAAAACAGCATTTAGCTTTTATGCAACCTGAGGTATAATACCAGGAGATCGTCCTAAGACTTGTATCTTGGCAAACCAGTTCAAACCTGGTGAAACGAACAGTAAATCTCTGCACGTCAGCATGGTGCAGGATGTGAGAGCTGATGTTTTCTTTCTAGGATTTTCCCATTTAACATCTTGTCTAACAATCTTCAGCTGAAGTTTTGTGCTCAGAAAATCGAAGCAGTAGCAATGGAGTAATATTTGAAGTAGTAAAGCAAGCTGTATTGTAAGACTGCCTGCACCTGGTATTACACTTTATTTTTCATGTTATTTCCTCACGTATTCTGACCTTTAGGTTCAAAGCTCCTAGAAGCAAACACCTCCTCCTTGTCTTCTCCCCACTCTCTCATCTCCCCTCCTCTCTCTGCATCTGTGTCCTCAGCTCTGCTCCCAGCTCATGCAAAGAGTCATGGTGGTGATGGGGGAAGGAGAGGGAAATGAATACTTAATGGCATTTCTAATCACCAAGAGGTGTCCTGCAGCAATGATTATACTGACAAATGCAGGAAAAATACAAAAAAAGGGTTTATTTGTTTACGTATTTCATTGAGGAGGGAAAAGTTATAAGAAAAGAGCAGACTTTTCTGCTTTTTTTATCTTCCCACTATGTGGCAAAGGCTTATAAGAGCAAATATTTTCTATTACGGGCTAAAGTATTTTTCAAGGATGTTTCCTGTGGCTAACAGTAGGCTGACTGTTAGTAAGGAGTCTCCTCTTCTGCCAGTGATCAGTCCATCTGATTTTAGTTTTTTTTCTTCTTTCTAATCCTGGTGTGGTTGTTTTCAGCACAGTAGCAATCAGAAATCACATGTGTTTACACCTCCATCATACATCCTGTGCTCTGCAGACAGCTTCGCCTTGTCTCCAGTGGCACAAAATTACTTTTTGCCTCCCTTGGAGGATGGTCATGTAACCCTACCACTGACAAACAGCAGTAACTGTGGGTTTGAGTACTTAGAACTAGAAGATGGTAGACAAGAATTTAATTTGCATATTTGCTAATAAATACATTTATTAATAGACTATTCGTTAAGAGAAACTATGAAACTTATAGTCCACCCAAATGTCACTTTTGGCTGTAACTTATTTATTTACTTCCTGAGTAGTTTCTGCCTGGATACCAGAAAAGAGGAGGAATGATCAACAGTGGTAAGAAAGTATCCTCCAGGATTATTATTTTTTTAAATCCTCCTCCAAATTATTTTTCATGCTTAGTGCTGGAAAGATAGTTTGTGTTTTCCATCCCATTTCCATCATCTGTGTGCAGGCAGCCGGCCACGAGGACCATGCTGGCCCCAGCGTAGTGGTTTAGCATCTCCATCCTCGTTGCATTGGGAGATGGAGGGACGATGGGGCAGATGCAGAGCTCAGAGCCACGCTGGGTGAGCTCTGACCCTGCCTGAGTGCAGCTGCCTGAGAGCTTTGGCTTTGCAGCAGCACCTTTTTAAGAGGCTTTTGCCTGATAGGATAGGACCTTTGAAGAGAGGTGACAACCTCCATAAGTGCTGTGAGCATCAGACATCCCTACAGAGAAGACTGATGCTTGGGCCATAGCTTTCTGTTGAACTCCCTTAGGAATGGATACCTGCAGTCAAGAATGCCTCTCTTAGTTTTAGATCTTTATTGTTTGCCTCCCTCCCTGCACTATCCCAAATAACTTGCTACAGTTCTTTAGAAGAAACATTGGGTTGTGTCATTTCTTTAAAATCACATCTGTGTTCCCTTGTTCTACTAGCACCAAAAGCCTCGTCCCAACCCTCTCCTTGTCCCAGCATGGCAAGAGCATTTATTCTAAAAAGAAGTTCATGTTTGCTTTTGCAAAAGATAGTTTTCTGATCACCACTTTGCTGCTTCAAGACAGTAGAGTGTTTTGTGTGCCTGACATATTTGAAAGGAGGATTTGGCAAGGGTAAGATTTCAAGAACCTGTTGACATTAAAGTTGTAGTTGCACTCACGGGCTCATAAATATTTCATCTTTTAGAGTAATTACTCTAAATGTCCCAAACCTCCAGGTCTGCTCCATTGCTGAGAAACGAGATGAAATGATTACACAAGAAACCTGGTGTGGTCTGTACAGGCTGCTGACGTCTGCAGCCTGCCCACCTCTGGCTGTGTGCTACGAGTGCCCCGTGTGCTGTTTGCCTCTCATTCCCCAGTGCTCCCTTTTATCTGTCATTGCTGGACTCTGAAAGTGGTCAAAGGACAGCTTTGGACTTTGGAAATGGGGCCTTCACAGCAGCTGCTCAAATAAATAGCTCAGGTGATGGCCTGGGTGAAGATTAGATTTGTCCTGGTGAGGAGAGAGGGACAGTGGGAGGAGGAGGAGGAAGATAAAGGGAGGGGGCGCATCCTACAGTGAATTTTCTCACTGTTAAACTCCAGTATAGAACTCTCAAGACAAAATACTGACTTATAAAAGATATAGACCTGAGTCAGTTAAGCAGTATTTGAGGAACACTGCAAGTTTATCATCTCAGATTAGTTGTGAAATATCACTTCCTTTCAAAGAGCTGTTTAAGTTGCTAGAAATGTGGAAAGCCTTTGTTTTTAAGTCAGCTTTGTGCTTTGTCTGGCAAGCCTGGGAACACCCCAGTGTTGTGCCTCTGGACTACCTGTATTTCACTTACTCTTAATGTCTTGTGATTGTCTGTCGACTGTGAAAGATTTCATGGCAAGTTAAGCCAGTAAAAGGAAAGAGACCTATTAGGCCAGTACAGTTTATGTTTTATGTAAAACAGATGCTTAATAAAATTAAGGGTGCAATTGAGACTCTCTTGTCTGCTACCTAAAATACCATTAATACATTCCTGTGCGGAGTGAATAGTGCATTTGCTGTTCTGGTTCTCAACCTGGTGGAAAGAAGAAGAAGAAGGACTGATAAGTGGCGGCTTTGCAGAGAACGGTTTACGAGGTGCCCACCTAGTCTAACTCTCCAGTCTGGTTTTTTATTTCCCTCGCTCCAGGGCTTGCTCTCAGAAATCCTCCGAAAGGAAGAGGATCCCAAGACTGCCTCGCAGTCCTTACTGGTAAACCTTCGGGCTATGCAGAACTTCTTGCAGCTGCCAGAAGCCGAACGAGATCGAATTTACCAGGACGAAAGGGAAAGGAGTTTGAACGCAGCCTCCGCGATGGGCCCTGCGCCTCTCATAAGCACACCGCCCAGCCGGCCTCCGCAAGTAAACCACTCTCTCTCTCTTCCAGATTCGCTCCTTGTGTTTTCTCGCTGTCTTGTTTGGGTGGTACCTTTCATAAAAAGAAGAAAGCTTTTACTGTTGCATTTTTTAAAACGTTTATGGAATCATTATTTGCAGTGCATATCACAAATTAAATTTAAGAAATATAATGGATGATAACAGCAGTTTGTTATTACTTATTTTCTAGTTTTAAGATAACTTCTATCCATTATGGCCCCTACAGAGGTTTTTGCTCATTTTATTGAGGTACAAACTTTACCGGGCCTGAAAGATACTGGCTTTTAGCTGTATTTTTTTTTGCCCTATAATTCTCAGGTGTTGTTTTTGAGGTTAGAGGCTCAAATAGGGATTTTGAAGGATTTGGACCACTAAACTGAGTGAGACTGAAAGCAGAAGTATGAGTACCTCATATTGCCTTAAAATTATCTTCCAGAAAATGAACAGGTATAACTTAAGGGATGGGGGAAAGAAGATTGCATCCCAAAATGCTGGGCACACTTTCACCAGGTCAAGCTACTGACAACTGGATAACAATACAGACCTCCTACATCTGCCACTCTGAAAGATTTGAATACGTTCATTAAAGCTTCACTTAGTATTTGTTCAGCTGAAACTCGTATCAGTTTCTGTAAGATCTAGTGGCCCTTTGTGTTTATCAAGGAAATTCTGATGCTACTTTTAGGGTGCATTACAAATACAGCTGTAAGCCATAGGAGTGCATAGGATTTCCACAAAGATATGTGTCTGCAAATGAAACACACTAAAAAACCCTGAATCTTTTCTAAAGTATTCTGCATTACCCTGGCTCAGGGTTGTACCTATGCAAGGACAAACAAATGAATCTGTAGATACATGGGAATCATGCAGTATACAGAGCCCACTTTTGCTACACGAAGCAAATGTGATTGTGAGGGATTTGTAATGGTTCAGTATATAAACGCAGAGGGTTTTTTTGCTAACGAGGCCTTAGGCTTGTGCCTGTGACTATATTCCATACCCATTCTGAACGCTATATGTTTCTTGAGATTAATTTTCTAGTTTTTCTACAGCTAATGGATCCTAAGGACCACACTAAAGTAATGAATAATGAAATTGTAGGAGAAGGGAGGACAGAAGATCAGTTTGATCTGCTGCAGTACTTTTCACAAGAGGAGAAAAAAATTTTATCAGAAAGAACAGACTGTGCTAATTGTCCAGTTTTGTTATCATTAACTGAGTTTAGTCTGAAATCCACTATAGATACTCTTCAGGATAAAGGATGGGAAACTATTTATGTAGTAATGCTTTTGTGGGAAATAGTTAAATGTAGATAACTGTGTTTAAAATAACGTTTGAGTTTGTTTTAATATCTGTACCTGCTCCCACAGCCCAGGTAATTCAGAGCAAAGGCTAACCCTTCTTCTTAACTTATCTCTTTCTGCCAAGGTAATGTCTCACTCTGTCTCAAGTGGTCTTGGGCAATTTCACAGCTAAAGAACAGAGTTAATTACAGGACCTTCCAGAAGGATGTCAAGTCAGAGGTAGTCATTGTATTGGTTTTAATTCACACTTTAAACTGTATAAATCCCTTGCAGCAAGAAAGAAAGTGAGACTAAGGGGTTTTCTTAACTGACAAAACACACTGTAAGTCCAAATTTAGGGGTCAGGGGAGGGGGAAATCTATCTGTCTCTTCTGTGCTCTTGTTCATAATTACATTTCATTTTTTTAGTGGGAGTCAGGTGTATAGTTAACCTAATTGCAACAGTTCAAAGTGGAAACAGCATACAGTTTTGTTTCGATCCTTTTCAAAAGGAAAAAAGATGAACAAGGAAATCTTATAAACTAACAGTTGAGGTCTGCAGAACAAAGCAGTTATTTTCTAGTTGTTATATTGTTCTCTGTCCTTCAGCAAAACATGTGCACTTTACCTAGTGGATGGACCGACCAAGGATGTAGAAACTTCTGAGTTGGGATCCTGTGTGACCTTCTTATACGTTGCCAGAATTACCCACCCATAAATGCATGTAGCACTTGCGACATGCTACTAAGTGTTCAGAGTCCTAAGTTTGAAAATTGAAATATCCATGTTGGTAAGAGAAATACAATACTTAATGCTGGAAATAGTAATGAAAGTATTCTAGTTGTTGCACCAGCAAACATAACATTACAAATCATAGCAGAAATAAATTATAGTCAGGATACTGCAAAATTATTGTGGCAAACTACTACTCTGATACCTCCCTCCATGTCCACAGCTTACTGGATATTTAGTATTAAGGAAATAAAGCTACTAGCATCCTTGCAATTAAATTTACTGTAAACATTTATTTAAAGTTCACTATACAGGAATATAGCATAATATTTTTTCAGCTTAGTTGTGAGCTTCTTGGATAACTATTGAAAGGCAAAACAGACCGTTTATCCTGACAACAGAATTTACGCAAGAGCCAACATATTTTAGTATTAAATCTTTAGACCACTGTAGCATTTGAAACAATTAAACTATGAAACCATGAAAAATGGGAGCTAATATGCCACACATGAAGGTTTATTTTGCAATTGCAAGTTATCAGTTTCGGAAGGATGTGAAAATAAACATCCTGAAAAGGATCTATTTTGCATTTTTGTGTTGCCAACTGGTGGCCAGACAGTAGAGCAGACTTAACCATTTAGCGGCTGAGCTTGTTCTGTGTGAATTTTGCATACTCTTGCATGCAAAAACAGAAAGCGTGACCTCGGAGGTCTGATAGGATAGTAGGAACTCACCAAGCGTAAACCCTGGTGCCTGAGTTAGGACAAACTGTGTTGAATTTATCTCATTTTTACAGCATTCTTACTATTTGCTACTTGAGCTAATGTGTCTGGATTGTTTCCAGTTCTTTTTTGAAATCCTTTAAGAAGCTCTTTGTCCCCCGTACTTCTCCCTTTCTCTGTGACTTAAACAAAAAAGCAAAATCTTATTTCTTTCTTTTTTTTTTTTTTACTGAAATCATTAGCCTCTAATGCATGAGCTTTTGGGATACTTGTATAGCTCTCTAAGCTGGTCAAGTTATAAGTCTGCTACTGCCTTCCACACTGGCAGACTGAGTGTGAGGAGACTGCATGCAGGAGAATTTTTCCCTTGGGTCTTGTTCATCTTGACACCTCCCAGGGCACAAGCCTGTCTGTCAGGCTCTTTCCTGTGGCAGTGGAGTTTATAAATGTTAGCATCTCCATCTGGTAGGTACTGCATAGTGACATAGTTTAACCTCTCCAACCTAGAAGGAAGGAAAAAAGGTCCTTCCTTCTTCTACTTCTTTTATTATTTTACTTTTTTCCCCCCCTTCAACACCCTCATCTTGCAGATCACCCCACAGAGGTCATTTCTGGGTATCCGTAAGTCAAGTTCATAGGATGAGCCTATTACACCTTATCTGGGAATGAGAGGATGTGGAGACACTTCAGAGGGAGCCAAGTGTGGAGCTATGTCCTGGGTGGATGGAGTTCCTCAGGAAGGTGCTAGGGATGGCCTGACCTTCTCATTGGGGCAGTTTGGGGTCTGGGGGAAAGAGGACTCTCTCCTCCCTAGTAGAACTTTGGGGATCGACAGAGACAAGTGACCAAGTCACAGATTTTGTTTTCCAAAATATTCTGGTTAAAGCTTGTTAGTCATCCTGCAATTAAGAGAACTTCCTCCTCGGGACAAGTTATCTCTGCTTCAGCAGAGCTGAGGAAGAAATCCTCCTCACCACCCATATTCTCCAATGAAAATCTGTGCTAACTCTTGGGCCCCATCATCATCCTGGGTAAAAACAGAGTACATGTAAGATCAAGAGCAGAATATAGTTTTAACAAGGCAATGTTTTAAGAAGTGTCCACGACTCTTGCATGAGTCATGGTTCTGGATACTCAATTGACAAAAGCTTTCATTTTCATAAATGTAATCCTGGCCTCCCTCTGACTGCAGATAAATTACAGTTCCTTCAGGCTAAAGCAATTTCAGCTTGGGACCTAGACATACGGTGTTACTTCTGAAAGGCTGTTCTGGAGGAAGACATGACTTTACTGGTGTTTGAGGACCAGGGAATCTCCCTTGCAGGGACCTCAGGTAGTTCCAGAGTTCTGCTCCTGTGAAACTTGATGGTGGAGCCTTAGGAGTTCAAACACACACGCACGCCATACTTCACCACTAGCAAAGATTTTAAGTCTGCACAATTTTAGATTTAGGTTGATAGTGCCAAGTTGCATTTTAATGAAAGTAAAAATGAACAAAATAATAAATGCAACCCACCCACCCCGCCCCCTCCGCGAAAACCACCATGGACGAGAGTTAATGGAAACCCTGACACTTAACTATAACTGCACTTCCAGGCGCCACTGTAATAATGGAGTAGTAAACCTTGTCCTGATAAAAGCTGTTCTGAAAGCAACAGCATTTATTGTACCTCCTGTGCTATTTGCAGAGCAGAACTGAAAAGTAGTTTGTTTTGCCTGGAATGAACTACTTTATGAATTTTAATGTACGATGTAATATTAAAAGCTAAACCAGGATTAAAGAAGATTTTTGTTCCCAAGCTAAAACAGTACTTATGAGAATGTGTTTAAAAGATTTTCATATTTCAGTTTTGATGGGGAAGAAGTGAACTTCCATGTATGTGAAAACCTTTTCAGATTGGTTATTCCTTCTATAACAACCTGGCCTTTGTTTAGGAAAATTGAATTAATCCAGAACTTCTTGTTACTGTAATCAGTCTTATTTGATGAGAAGATGTATCTGGGCAGACCAGAAGAGGGATGGATATGTTGGGGGTTTTTCCAAGTATTTTTAAAAGATTAAATTGATTGGTGATAGGAAGATGGCCAAACGAATTTCTGATTCTCTGTGTGTTACATTTGTAATATAATGCTCCCTTGTTCAGTTAGTGCTTGCAAAAATTGGTTACTCTAAAAAAATAATTTAGCTGATATATGGTTTCTTTCCTAAACAGAAAATGTGGCTATGAGTGTGGGTGGGGTGGGAGGTTGTGCTTAAGTGTGGATGAGATGAGAGATTATGTTTTGTTTTGTTTTTCTCTTCAAAATGAATACTTTTTCCACCTCCTCTCCCAAGTCCTGAAGTTACACCGTTGAGGGCTTTTTTGTTTTCAGTTGGGTTTTTTTGAGGAGGAGGGTGTTTTTTCAACCCAACTTCAAACAGCCTCTGTCTTGAACTCAATTCTAAATTCAACACAACAGCCTAGATGCTATGTATAAATTATGAAACAGTTTTATATATGGATATTCTCCAAGAAGTTAATTAGCATTATTGCATGGAGTTCATCAGACCAGAGCAGACCAATGGTCCATCTAGTCCAGCCACCATCTATACCTGATCTTTGAAGAGAAATTATTAAAAGGCAGAGGAAGAATTTTTACACTTGGCCAATGATGTAAATTGGGGAGGAAGAGGGTGTGACTGTGAACACCAAATCTTGATAATCTCCAAATTCATAATATTAAAACTTTTAGATTTTATTCTGCTGAAGCTTTTTGGGCCAGTATAACTTTTTGATGCAGATATTAGTGTTTTCTGTTGTTTGCTTCCTAATTCAATATCAACAGAAGGCAAGAGAAGTTTTGTTTGTTTGTTTTAACTTCAGTGACATGTTAGATGCCATTGAGTTGTTTGGACCTGTATAAAGATAGATGTGATTTGCCAACCAGAATGAGGAGTTTCAGTAATTCCCCTGGAGTTAAATGCATGTCTGTATTAAACTGGGCATTGAAAAGTGTGTATGAGTCTTGGTGTTTGATGATCTGGGTGTTCACAGCTCAGTAAAATGGTCTATGAAGTACTGCTGCAATGTGAAGCTGTCGTTTGAAGCTGAGTAACAATCAAAAAGGCCGTGTGCTTAGGGAAGAGAGACATTTCGATCATTATCACAAGAGCAAAGTGTTTCCTTCCCAAAAGATGCTGTGGACTTGGGTAAGCTAGCTGAGTACTTCTGTCTTCTCATCCTCGCCTAAGGACCCTCAAAGATTAGTTACAAGTTAGAAATATTGTTTTGGGAAGGACTGAAATAACTTTGCCATTTAAACATGAGGTCCAAGGTATGTTGACAAAGCCATCCTCTTTTCATTTTCTGATTTAGCTTAGCCTAATTTTTACAGGCAAGCAGAGAAAAGGCTGTCTCCAGTTTTTTAACATCCCCATTGGTTGTCAGTTATCTGTTAGTGAGCCCTTTTCATTTAAAGGTTATCAAATTGCCACTGACTTTGTAATTTTCGAGCAATTTCACAGTATGGTGTTCAGGAGGTGCACCTGCTCTTGCGGCCCCACGCTGATCTGCCCAGCGTGAAGCACGCGTTTTCCCGCTCTGCAGTGGGAAGAAGGGACATTCGTGGTGCTGCTCCTCCCGCTGCCCAGTGCCAGGTGCCTCAAAGGTTTCTGAGCAGCTGTTGGCCCGGGCTTGGCCATCCTCTACTGCAGGTTGCCTGTAAAATGTCGCACTGCAGAGAAGGAAACACTTCGCTCCCCAGGCCGCAGCTGCAAAGTACCGTTTGTTCTCAGATGAAAGCAAATCCCGTGATGAACTGTATGGCGCATTCTGTGGTTTTTCCTTCGTTTGCTTTTTCATTTAGGACTCATGTTTTCAGACACCAGAAAGTGCTACCGCCTGTCGGGAGGAGGCAGGTGGAGGTGTGTGTGAACACCTTGTTCTTGCTGGGGTTTTGCCCCTTGCAGCTCTGGGGCATGTGCTAGCACAGCTCCTAAAACGCGATAGACAAATCGCGCTCAGCAAAAGTGGCGTGCGCTCCCAGTTTCTGGGCTAGATTACTTTATCTTTAAAGCACTATGGAGGATAGTTAACACAAATTGAGCGTGACATTTCTAGGAAAAAGTGGGCTGATGATTTGCCTAAGTATGTCTCTCATCCGAACCCTTTGGCTCTTGTATCGTGAGACCTGTGACATATGAAAGCTCTTAGAGAGCGAGATTAGAAGATGAATTATCAGGTTGTCTTGATTTCCCTTTGAACCTCAAGGGACTTTAGAGCACAGGAAGATGCTGACTTGCACTGGATTAAACTGATAGTGAAAGTGTGGATTTAGACACATACTTCAGAGTAAACTGAATCACCCTCTGGAAGTACCAAGCTGTGTCCTCTGTCAATTAGATTTCGAGGTAGCCTGAATGACTAACTTAGGCTAGACGTGTAATTTCTGAATGGCTAAATTAATTAATTTCTCAGCAACCTCAGTTTGAAACAGCAGGTTTGAATCTAAATCTAAAGTTTTTATTTTGCATCATCACCTTGTGGGTTCTTGGCTTTCCTTTCCTCTGGTCCTTTTTAGGATTAGTGGTCCATAAGGTCCACTAATCTTGGGGAAGCATGGCAAGAGAAGCTGCTAAAGAAAGACGTTATCCTTAAGTATTGAGCAATATTGTAGGATAAGTGGAGTACCTGCTCGGTTTTTGTACCTCTCAACTGATACTGCAGTAACTGCGCTGTAACCTTGGTGGGATGATTCTTGGTGTTGAAACATCACTTCCATCATTTCCAGAGGATGAAGGAAAGGATAGTGTTCTGCACATCGTGTCACTACTGATGTATTTTTTGTTGTTTTCCTTAATGCTGCAACTGTAGCACAGAGGTGGTAGTGTAATCATTCTGTCTTGTTTTCATGTTGTTTTGTATTTGTTTTTTGACCTGGACCGCAAGAAGAATAAATATTTGATGTATGTAAGTGAAATACTACCAGAATGAATAGTTTTAAGAAAGCCATATCTTGATTTCATGAATGAGTAGCTGAAAAAGGCATTATTCTGAATTACCGCTTTCTTAAAAACAGCTTAAGAATTAAACTGATAACGTAACGCTTTAACTTTTAAATCTAAAGCCACAACTTTTCTACATTATCATGTGTTTGCATGTACTGGATATAAGACGTCAATCAAGATATACTTGTCAGTTTTTTATTTCATTAGAGATTCTTTTATCATAATCTTACAATTCTCACTTAATTTGTGTGGGACAAAGAAATCATGTAAGGTTTCACAGGTCTTTACAAGACTGTTTGACAGGTTCCCACCTAATTTGTTTTATGACATTGAAATTCACAGTGGTCAGTTAATAACTCATATTTCAGATGCACACACCTGTTACAATATGCTGAATTTTCTTGCTTCCCAGTTGCCTGAACCACGGATAACTTACAACGTTAAGTCTCTGAAAAGCTGAAAGAATATCAGAGCAAGATTGAATAAAAGGAAAAAAATGGAAAAGGGAACTACTTGGGGAGGGAAAGA